CCCCATTTTCCCATGTGCTCCTTTCCGCCGCCTCCTTCAGATCCAAGGAGATCGACTCCCTCCTTCCTTTATCCTTCCTCTCTCCTCCTCCAGATCTCACTCCAACTTGATTCTAGGGCTCAGGTTGTCACTGTTCTCCCGCGAAGCTCGTCTCCCCTCGAAGCTCGTCGTCGACTCCTCCCTCGAAGCTCGTCGATTCCTCCCTCGAAGCTCATCGACTCCTCCTCGAAGCTCGTCGACTCCTCCCTCGAAGCTTGTCCCTCGAAGCTTGTCGTATCCGAGTGCCAACCACCGTATCCGACCCGTATTTCGTACCCGGATCGGTGTCGGATCTTATCAACGCCGGTACGACGGCCAAACCACCGTGTCCAAGTAACGTAGCCTACAGGTATCGTCTAATCAGAATGGGCCTTGTAACCACTCGCACTAATGTATGATTCCTGCAAACATGACAATCCATCGACATAAACTTCGATAAATAAGTTGTCAATCAGATTGCTCAGCCAAGCACAAAGCATTTAAAGTGAACTAATTGTAATCTCTTACATATGGATCGACATTATGCAATTAATTTACTCAAACTACAAAACTCAAATGTTTAGGTATAAAAGCAAAAATTAGTCTTTCATTCAAAAAGTTTCATTACAATATCCTCCATAGTTCTTTCTACAAAAAAAGGGAGGGAGGGATATCTTTAATACCCTCGACCAAGTCCCCAAGAAGGGCCCAGTCATCTCCTGGCCGCTGTCAAAGAAGAGTCGTCAAGGGAGTCGTCAGCCGACCTCAAAGCATCAACTTCTCGTTCTAGTCCTTGGATAGTCCCGGACTGTCTGGAGCTGATGATCTAGTAGCGTCCCAGCAACCTCTCTGTCTCGGCCAGTTCAACCTCCAAGGCAGCAACCCGTCTCTCCGCCTCTTCCCTGGCTGGCTGATCTCTCTACGGCCAGCAAATGATCGAGCCGGCGGAATAGAGGCAGCTCTAATGAAGCCCTTTGGGCCTGACAGGCTTGAAAAGCTTGATGAATATCGTTGCTTGACATTTCCTTCAGACTTTCCTCGCCAACGTCACCGTCAGGGCCAGGAGAAGACTCTTCTGCACCATCCACCTCATTGACCGAAGCAAGAGGTTCTTTACCGGGTTGACGAGACGGTCCAGGTCTCAAGGAAGATTCCCTAGCAAACCATGCATCCACAGAGTCGGCCAAATTCCTTCTCCTACCCCTCGTCTCATCAGGAGAGGGAGCAACCTCGATCACGAGGGGCCATCTGTCAGAATCCCCCTCTATATCGAGGGCCCCCCTAGATCTCTTCCGAGACTCCCCAACTGAGCCTTTCCTCTCGGCCCCTGTTACATACCTCCACTGACGGAGGAATAGGAGAGCTCGCCCTGATCGCGAAGCTAGTGAAAGATAAGATCATGGACATGTCCTCCACCAAGTTCTCCACGTCCAAAGGCCTGACATAAGAATGGATCTTTTCCAGGGCCTCTTTCTCCAGACCACTAAGAGCAACTGGCCTTAGGGCCTCCATGTTTACCTCCGGTCAAGTCGAGCAGGCAAAGATGTCACCAGCTCCATAAGCCCACACAAAATGCTCCCTCCAATCCTCCTCCAATTCAGGAAGATCCAGGGAGAGCTTGAAATTAACATCAATATGATAAAAATAGTGTGGATCCCCTTCAGTCGATCCCACACTCAACAAATAACCCAGCACTTTCATGCTAGGCTGTACTCCAACTCAGTAGCAGACGACCACGAAGGCCACCAAAGCCCTTACTGCATCTGGATAAAACTGCATGGGGGAAACACCCAGAGCTGCATGTACCAGTGTTGTCAATGCGCGAGGCGCAATGCGGTGCGCAAAGCATCTTTACGCGCACATGCGTAAGGCGCAACGCGATGCGCGCGTCCGAGTAATGCGAGGCGCACACCGCACACATAATATTTCAATATATGTAATCAAGCGTGAAAGAACATGTTTTTAGAATTTACATGAAAAATATCATGATAAATAGTATCTTACTACAAAATCATAATATATTACCTTAGTTTCTAATGCTAACACCCAACATAGGAGCAAATTTCATAAATTTTTAAATCAAATGTTAAATCAAGACTAATATCCAAACAAAAGATTAGTAATGGTCCTCAATTGAAAGTTATTAAAAAGGCTCAATAGATTTATTTTGCTTTTTGAGATATGGAATATCAAGTATAAAGACTCGATTGAAATGTTAACAAACAAAATTATACGAGGAAATGTACTACATGCATCCTACACAAAGTACGGATATACGTGAGGCGCAAAAGATGCTGCTGCATCAGATGTGGGGCGCTTCGCCACCGCCCCACATTGTAAGGCGCATGAGGCGCAATGAGGCGCGCGCCTTTGAAAACACTGGCATGTACTCCCCTGACAAAAGGATGAAGAGGCAGCCGCAAACCCTGCTCCAGATGTGCCAAGTACAATGGCACTCACCCCTCGCTATGATTGTATACGGACTCCGTCAGCTTGGGCTCCTCAAGTGTTAAGGCTCGAGGAATATCGAATCTCTTGCACGCCCATTTCAATTGATCTCTAAGAACCTTTGAACGCATACGTCGAAGTACAGCAAGTTTTTCTTCGCGATGGCTAGGAGTGGGAGAGGGAGAAGCCATGGAAAAGTTCCTTCTTTACAAAGTCCAACGATTTTGAAGATGAAAAGTCTGTGTGAAAATCCTCTCAGCCCTCAAGATATTTATAAAACCTCCAAAGAAGCATGCAGAAGAACTCAAGAGGCACAATCTTGAAGCGACCAAGAAAGATCCACTTTGAAAATCCGAAACGGATTGCTCGAAATACCAACCGCCGCTCCTGCACATTATTCCATGCCAATAAATTGGCAATAAAGCGCCACTCGTTTTGTCCACGATACTTCCTATGACGGTTGGACAGAAGGCCCTACATCACGTTTTCAGCCACGATCAACTGGCTAAGAATCCTCAGTAATCTTGGGCAAGTTTATAGAGATCATAAGCTTATATCTATTTCACTCGAACCCGATTAAAATCGACTCCGCCGAGCGACGAGTCATCTTTACCGATGTGAAGTGCAGGATCAATTGACCCCTCATAATCAAGACGACTCCTCAAGAGTTCATCCGCCTCATAATCGAGACGACTCCTCAAATATTCGGCTCGACCATCTACTCGGCTGTCTCCTCGGCCAGAAGCTCACTCGACTATCTGGTCAGTAAATCATAGGGACGACTCGAAAACCAACCCGTCACTACTAAAGGGATAAGATCCAACTAAGCTCCCTTCAGATATACATCAATCAACACTACAGTATTGATCGATCCCATCAAGATCTCAACTCTGGCAAATCTCAGGCATAAACAGCTTACTTTGCTCACAAGTTACTTTTCAGATATCTCTAAGATATCCTCTCCTATGCTCGAATGACTTCCCTTCCAGTCGCCAGCCGACATCTGTAAAGTAGAGGATGACTCAACAGCTTGTATACTCACCCCACCACCGTCCTCCTGTGCATAGTCAAAACCAAGAGTTAGAATCTCAAGGATGAAGGACTATAAAAGGGAGGGAGGGTAAGGTAAATAGGCTGCTCTTTTTTAATCTTGACTCTACTAATAGGTTGGACCTTCATTAAATTGTGAGGATCATTTCTCCCTCTTGATCTTTTTTTTTACTAATAACTCTAAAAGACTACCCCTTACAAGGACCTCAATGGTCCCGGACTCTCCCTCAAACCCCACTCAAACTCACCAGCTGACTTGACCGTCGGAGATACCACGGGGGAAACAAGTCCCGCCCTCTTACAGGTTCGTTCTTCTTGTTTATGCAGAAGAATCAGGAATTTCAGTCCAAGGATCGGACATAAAGTCGGAGGAGGAGTCGGCCCCATCTCTCATCCTCTCCCTCTTCGTCATCAACGGATAGTTCTCATCGACTGTGTGATATCGGACATCAACACTTAGTACATGTAATTCTTATTTACTAATGAAAGCCTGATTATCTATTTATAAATTATTATACCACTATACATGTTTATAATATATATTAATTTTAAAACTAATAATACTTAACACATGAGGCTTACGCCTCACGCTTTGAAGTTTACGCGTCACTTTATAAAAGGCTCTAACCCCTTACGCTTACGCTTTTTTAAACATTGGGTAGGACTGCAGTGCCTTAATAACCTAAGCAGATGTCTACAACTTATCCCATTTCTAAAGAAAGGTTTGATTTAAGTGCCAGCGCAGGACTACTAACAAAAAGAGACAAACTCAAAAAGAAATCACACTGTAGCTCAACATTATTTGAGAGACAACCAAAATTTAGCTAAACATTAAACAGGAGGTAATAAACAACTAAGAACAAAGAGAAAATTGTAATTTGTTATAAATTCTCAAACTGAAAGACCCTCGAAGTGAAATGATGACCGTTGTTTTATTAGGTCCGTCTTCATTACTATAAGGTGCAGCTTCACTAAACCTCATGGCACGAGTCATACTAATAATCATCCTACAGTTGTTACATATAATTCCAAATGATGAGAACAGGTGAATTCCGAAGGAAAGGAGGAAGAAAATTCATAAAACTTGTGTTAAATGGTTGGCGAGGAATTTCATTATGTTGGCACAACAGATGTTAATTCATACATATTCCCTTAAGAGATATGCACAACGAAGGTCAAGGGTTAAGGTTTGATTTTTTAAGCAAAACTTCCTTGGCAAGCTCACAGTTTGACATTTCCACGAATTGGCAACTGCATCAGACGTTGAAATCACACATCTTCATCTAAAATCTTTCCTATCCATGGATATTGGAAGGATACCCCTTTGTCAATTAAGCTTAAAAAGGAACCACTAACATAGCAATTCGCAGCATCACCAAAGAAATTCGCTGTCGAAATAAAGCCAGTTGTAGAGCAAGACGGTAAGACGAGAGTCTCCCCCCTTTTTCCACCCTAAAAAGGAAAAAAAACTAAATTGTACGAACCTTTCTACAGCTCTGCGGACATCTTCAACCCGAGCGGTGCTGGATGGATTCAAGCAGACCTCAACTGCAGCAAATAAAATCATGAAAATCAGAAGAAATAGGAAAAAAAAATTTGAAGGGAAATACATTTTACTTTTGGCTTTTCTTTGTTTTTACCTGAGACGAGAATCTTATCTTCTGCAACTGCGACTGACGCCCGAGCAATTGGGGGATTTGATGATTCCGGTGCTGCCTCTGGTTGCTCACAGACCTCCGCTGCTGCGACTTCTGAGGCGGCGCTCTGGAGGGTAACCTCCATTGGGGAGCTCATCGTTGATTATCCAAGGATTTGGGGTTTGTTTTGGTGGAACGAAATGAAAAACCCTAGAAACGGTGGTTTTCGAAATTTTCGATTTCCCTCGCTTTGGCGGAGGCCGGAGAGATAGAGAAAGTTTGGGCCTGCGAGAAAACAAATAGCCGAAGCCGAAGTGGGTTCCGGCCCTAAAAGGGCTGCATTTGGGCTTTGCATATTGAGCAACCTTGCCTGGATTGAGTATTATTTTTTATTAATTATTTATTATTGTTATTATTATTATGTGATGTGGAAAACTATCCACTCCTGCTGTTTGGTTTTGATCATTATAATAGCGTCAGTCAACAGCTAGGTTGACAAAGTAGTACATAATTTTGAACCAGAAGATGAATGCCCAATTTCGAACTGGGATCATGTAACTTAGGCTTCGTTTAGGGGTGTCAAAACGGCCAGGGCCGGCCCGGAAAATCAGACTCGGGTCGGGTAAAATCGGGCCTTGGGCTCGGGGCCATCGGGTCGGGTTCGAGCTAGGACCGGGTCTGAGCGGGCTGGGCTTCGGGCTGGTTGGGTTTTTTGGGTTTTTTATTTTTTTATTTTTTTTATTTTCAATAATACATAACTAAAAATAAACAAAATTTTAATTAATAAATTATATTATTACTTATTAATCATTTGAATTTACATAAATTACAAATACAAAAAATGATAAAAATTAAAATTGTTACGGGGTGTTTCATGTTACTTACAAATATGCTATCCCGAGAATAGACCCAGTCGAGCTGACATCACTCCCAAAAGACGACTTGAAAGGCGGAATCAGTCGGGCAAAAGACTGCTGCTCAGCAACCGGCCGACACTTCCCCCAAAGACGGCTCAGAACATTAATTCCCAGCATTATTTTACCATTTCTGGTCATCATTACGACTCCACATCACCCGCTGACAAGCCTCAACGGTTACTGATTCCCCATGCCACAGAAGCGACTCCACGTCACTCACAGGTAAGCCTCAACGGCTGTTGATTCCTCATGCCACCGAAGCTAACGGTTGCTGATTCCCTATGCCACCGAAGCGACTCCACGTCACTCACAGGCAAGCCTCAACGGTTGTTAATTCCACATATCACTGAAGTGACCCGCCATCACTCATCAATCGACACGAATAGGGCAGAGGATGACTCAGCCTCCAGCTCACCCCTCGCTGTCATCGTGAGCCGTCTCCTCACTAAATACATGTGTTTGTGGAAAATTTGCAGTAAAAAGAAATGAAGGAAAATTGATCTGTATTCCTTTAATCTCAGTTACAATTGGATTTCCTGATTACAAAAGAGAGGAGAATGATCTGGATTCTCCCCTTTGTTTAATTATGGGTTCTTCACGGTGGCGATGAGATGCCTCCCTCGAATGCTCGCGTCGAGTTTGCTTCTCGGTGACGATCCGACGTCTTGTTTCACTGGAACATGATCTTCTCCTCACGATTTGACGTTGTGGAGAACTCTGAACGAGTTTGAAACTCTATGAAAGAGTTGATTTAACCGAAATCGGTTTATAAGCCAAGGATGAAGAAGATCTTATTGCTGATCTCCAAAGCTCCAACCGAAGGATGAAGGATCCTCTTTTCGCTGCCAAGAAGTTCCAATCGACCGACCCCTGAACTGAATTGATTTTCAGTTATTTATAGGGGATTAAGGGGTGTAACCACCTCCTTAATTCGCTCCTAAGTGGGGCTAATGTGATGTAACCGCCCCTTAAATCACTCCTGAGTGGAGTTGTGATCCCCAGATCGTGGGAAACAGTTTTGAAACCGTTCAGCTCGTGTTTGAACGAGTCAAACGCAAAATCCGCGTTCTGGTGTGAATTCTGCATTCAAACGCAGTGTCTGGAAGCTTGAACGCAATGTCTGAAAGCTCAGACGCAGCGGCTGGAAGCTGCGTTGGCATCTTGTTGGAAGCTGCGTTGGCATCTTGTTGGAAGCTGCGTTTGGCGGCTTGGAAGCTGCTTTTGGCAGCGTTGGAAGCTCATTTGCAGCGATTTAAGAGCTGCGTTTGGCAGCGGATCTGAGCTGCGTTTACAGTAATTTGGAAGCTGCGTTTGTACGATTTAAGAGCTGCGTTTGGCAGCGGATCTGAGCTGCGTTTGGAGCTGGATGTGACCTGCGTTTACAGCGTTTGAAGGCTGCGTTTACAGCGATTTGGAAGCTGCGTTGGCAGCCGAATCTGAGCTGCGTTTGCAGCTTTTAGAGCTGCGTTTGAGCTGCGTTCGTGGCTATGAACGCGGCGCATCTTGATGCTGATACGCGGGGAGGACTTCCACGTCTTGATTTGAAGAGACCGTCGATTTGTAGTCTCTTTCTATCAAAGTTTTGCAAAGATCGTCATTTTGTAATCTTTACTTTAGCTCTTTGATATGCAAGAGTCGTCAGATTGTAACTCTCGATGTTGATTGTGAAGGCTGTTGAACTAGAGCTCTTATCGGTTGTCGTGAAGATCGTCAGATTATAACCTTCAGCGATCTACGTGAAAGTCTTCAAATTGTAGCCTTCTGGAAGTCGTCAGATTGTAACTTCCATCATCGGTGTTTTGATGGGGATCAGCTATCTATTATGATTTTTTTTGACAGCCTACAACATGTTCTGTCATTGGCATCCTATATAAATAGAGACGTTATTCATCCTAAGCGGAGGTTCGATCTTTCCCTCACTACCTAAAAAATTCTCTAGTCGTATATTAGGATGAGGCACTATTCCTCTAGATCGGACCCAGATCCACCAGCTAACTTGACCGTCGGAGGTACCACGGGGAAAACAATCCCCGTACTCCCGTGATTCTTATGTGTGCAGGTGACCCGCCCACCCCGAGCTCTAAGAACCATGCATTAAATCAAAGAAGGAAAGCGGCCCTCTATCCCTCTCAACGATCCAGCAACTCCGCAACCCTCATCGACTGTTTGTTCACGAGCATCGATAGTTTGGCGCCCACAGTGGGGCTACTTTCCTCTTTTTGAGAAGAAATGTCGAGTTCTGAGTGAGGAGTGGACTAATCTCTTACAAGGGGACCTCCAAATTATGTGACCCAGGGTCAATTGGAGCAGACGGTAGACAGACTCTCTTCATCTCTAAAAGAGCAGTTTGCCGCCCTGACCCATGAACTCCTCTAGCGAATCCCGCGACAGCCCCACGACAGCCACACGCCGATGAACAACCTCCACCACTTGAAGACCGGCGATCGGAAACTCACACCCAGGAAGTGTCGTGGGACACACCCCGGCATCCTCCTAACCACCACGAACAGGCAGAAGACTGCCCCAAGCAACTAAATAATGATAATAAAAGCCCCAGTCCCAGCCATTTGGGAGGACATGCTAAAGGAAAGGTTCTCAGAAAACCCCACCGCCATGACTCCTCAACTTCGTCAACCACTGCAGGGGCCTCCGGCTACGATCGAGGGTAAAAACCAATTTTTGATACTATCGAAGGAAATACTACGTTATCTGACAAGATAATGGAATTCCCGTTTGAGAAATTTAAGATGCCTCACCTAGAGACGTACTCAGGCGAGGGAGATCCTTCGGAGCATGTTCAAAATTATTTTGATATAATGAGCATGCTTCAAGTATCCGAAGCAGTCTTATGTCGATGCTCCCCCATCACCCTCAAAGGAAGTGCTAAGCTCTGGTGGAATGCTCTGGAGGAAAGATCCATCAGCAGTTTTAAACAACTCAACCGTAAGTTCATTCATCATTTTCTGGCAGACACAAAGCAGAAGCTCCCTCCTCACGTGCTGATCCAAATGAGGCAAAGGCCAGATGAAAGCCTCCAGGTTTACTTCAAGAGATTTCAAGTAAAGAGGTTGGAAGTCAATGATCCCGGAAGCGCAGTCGCTATGTCGGCACTTGTAGCGGGCCATCAGGATAATGAACTAGCTGATTCCCTCACCAAAAAGCCAGTTGCCAACTACGAGCAGCTAATATCCAAAGCTCATGGATACATGGATATGGAGACTGCTTATAAGGGAGTCATCAATGTAATTAGTGGGGGCCTGACCGTTAGAGGGCAGTCCAACAACAAGCGGAAGAAATACGCCAGGAGGATGTTGCAGGTCGACCACGACCCTAATAAGACGAGAATAGGAGAGCTTGTATCCTTCAGCGAGGAGGACCTACAGGGTGTTGAAACACCCCATGATGATCCTCTTGTCATCACCGTGACCATTAACGGATATCAAGTGAAGCGGATTATGGTCTATACAGGAAGCTCGGTGGACGTTCTATACACTAGCACTTTTGATCAGATAGGGATCGACAGATCCCGCCTACTGTTCACGGTGAAAATCGTGTCTTTCTTTATAATTGATTCCATTGCCATCTTAAATAACAGCTTTTTGAGTTACAAAGATCCGGTCTTTTTATAAGATCCGGTTACAATGAAAATCAAAGAAAATAAAAGAAAGTTTACAGGTTTTTATCCTTGTTTGTCGAACAAATCACGAGCTCCTGTTTTGCGGTCGCTCGCTTTGTGGGTTCTTCGCCTGCGCCGGGGTTTATCCGTGGACCACCGCGCGATCTAGATCCGGTCGGATCTACGCAGTACGACGGGTATTATTTCACGAAGGAAATAATAGCTGGGGGGGGATTGGTTCACAAAGGAAACAATCGCCCAAATCTCGGGATCAAAGGCCAAGCTTTGATCCGGAGTGTGCCTGCGTAGATCTGAGATCCGGTCCTCTCGAACTCTTGCCTTATTTGACGTTGACGATCGTCGAGCACCAGATCTGGATGAGCAAGTCCTCGAAGTCCTAAAGTTTGAATCTTTTTTAGATCTGAGTCTTCACTCCAGTAGGGCTTCGCCTCCAAAAAATCCAACCAACTCAAATGAACCACCATTGGCCTATTTATAGGCACCCAGATCTGTGCCTAGGCACAGATCTGGGCTGAGGTGGCTCGGCCACAAGTGGCCGGCCACCCCTGGGTGGCTCGGCCGGTTTCGGCCGAGCCCCTCAGGGTGTTTGGGTTCCTGTCTTTTTGTCGTTGTTCCCGTTTTGTCCGTGATTCGGTTGTGCGGTTGATTTGTCTGGACTCAATTTGTTGACCTGATTTGGCAGTAGATCCGATTCCTGATTAGGCAGTAGATCCACTTCTGAGTTCGA